TGGCTTAGTTGCTAAACAATTTGTGATGCATTTTGTTGGCCACACATCGTTGAGGAAGAATAATGGACCAAAGATAAACATAAGGTAGGGCAGTTAAATGAACATTTTAAGTTATAAAAACAGACATATGTTTTCAAATACGTTCGACATTGCGCACCCCAAGCCCACAACAAGCTATCGCCCTACCCGATGTTCCCAACTATCCCATCTGGCACCCCTCCCCGCTCCCCCAGGTGACAGAAGCCCTCCCGGCCGCCCCCGCCGCGCCGCCGCTCACCTGCTATCCGTGCGTGCCACCGCCGCCGATCCCGTCACCTTACTGACCCTGTGCTTCCACCGACACCAGTGCCCCAGTGAGGCCACCGACGGCGACGGTGGTGCCCCGACCCTGCGGCGGCGGCGGCGCGAACTACTCCCAACCGGCCCGGTCGGCCTATATGGATTCGGGCGCAGAAAAAAGCGGCTCGGCTGCGCCGTCGCGCTAGCGAGCCCTTTGTGTCCGGGCTCCCGACTCGGCGGTGGCATCGTCAGGGGAGCACCGCCCCCCCCACCCCTCCCCCGCCGCTCAGCCGCCTACGCTCCCAGCCCGGCCCCGCCCCCTGGGTAGAGCGACAGAGCCGGATATGCGACTCTTTCCAGGCCGGCCCATTCATTGTGGTATGCATCCTGTGTCGTTTCGCCGGTCATTGTGGGAAGGGAGGCTGGCGCCCGATAGATTGCTGCTAAATTTGGTAAATATTTAACTATCAAAAGTCATCAGGAAAGCAATATATGAATAGCGACTTAGCACACATATGGGCGATTTTGACCCTACGTTTATGTAGCATGAAATATCAGTTGAGGTTACGGATACATTGCGGAATCAAATGCATTGCAAGATACGTTGTCACTGATGACTATGAACCTCTGTGGCTATGAAATCTCTGCTGACCTTTTAAGTAAGCCCTGCTTCTGCGGCATGCTGTAACACATAGAGCTGCGTTGGCGTGCCAACGGTGTATTTACTCGTCGTGCTCATTGAAATGTTCGCCACTTATGTGGTTAGGTGTATCAGGTATGTCACTGACGTTCACATCAAATACTCACATCCCTAACACCAAGTTCCCCGGGCATTGTTACCATGGCAACCACTCCGCCGTACGCTGTTTGGTCAAACAACGCCATTGAACTCGACAAAGCTGGCGCACGAGTCCAAACCGATGCAGCCGACTGTGTGTGCGGCACGTTCCGATTGTGTCGCTACAACAGCGAGGCCGATGGTATCCGTGATAATGTGCAGCGCGCAACGAACGCTTTGCTTATCGACAGAAACCGTCTCGAAATAGCGACAACAAAGCCGGTAAGAACTACAGTAGGGCTACTATACATAGATACAACTTTGGGAAACGTTCCTGGCTGGTGCACCGGAACACGTGATTTGACGCCCTGTAAGGTCCAAATACTTTGGAGGAAGCATAGAAGGAAGAAGGTTGTGGAATAAGTTTAATTATGAATGATGCATCCAGCTTGCATTCTGAAGAAGAGCTGAATACAGAGACTCAGTTGTCAACAGATTCTGAACCAATCAAGAAACAACCGAAGAGAAAAATCGCTCGAAAACGACCCACACATGTACGACTTCAAAATCATAACCTCAAAGCGATTCCAAAACTGGAGGCCAGTAAAGACGCACTTGTTGTTTACTTGTACAACAACAAAATCAACAACATAACCAATTTGGATGTCCTCACAAAGCTAACACATCTCTATCTCTCTCATAATAAATTAAGACGTCTGGAGAATTTGACTGGCCTCGCCAACCTGGAAAAGCTCTACATCGGACACAACAAAATCTCCGTATTGGAGGGCCTCGAGAATCTCCACCGTCTCCGCGAGCTCCACATGGAATCACAGCGCCTCCCCGCCGGCGATTCATTGACCTTTGACCCTCGCTCTGTGGAAGCGATTCGAGCCACTCTTCATGTCCTCAACATCGACAACAACGGCGTGACGAGTCTGTTACCACTAGTGCCGCTGCCCTACCTCACTGATCTGAATTGCACTGCCAACCAGCTGAGTAGCTTGGTCGACCTCACTGAGTCCCTGCGTCAGCTTCCGTGCCTGACCCGTCTTGACCTGAAGGGGAATCCTGTCTGTGACCTACAGCGGCATCGCGATGCGGTAGTGGAGAGCGCTCCAGAGCTGAGGAAGCTCGATGAGCTGGATGTGACGCCCACGTTTCGGCAGTTTATCTTCGGGCGAGGTCAGGCGGTGGCTCGTAGGATGAGCACAACCAAACAGCGGCTGGCACTGGCTTCTGCCTCCGATGACGTCATCATTCGAGACAACCCAGCGTCAGCGAGGCTTCGATCTCCGCAAGTGGCGCTCAGTCAAGGAAACCTGCTGCCGCCGAAGAGGACTCCCGTGGCCTCTCAGCCACACCAGACCTCCAGCACACATCTCCGAGTGGGGAATATGCTGACTCTGACGCCAGAACAGAGAGCGATAGCGCGCACTCCCGACAGCCGCCCACAGTCCGACGCACACCTGGAGACATCTAGTGGCGACCCAGAGAACTTTGAGTTCCCTGGAGGCGACTTTAGTCACCCAGTTCCCTGGGCTGGAAGGAGAGACACTCTGCCAAGCAGCCCAGCGCGGAGACCCATCGGAGCTGACGCCAGGTCGGCCCGACCCAGTATATCTCAACAGCATGCTACTGCAGAGATCGTCGTTCCTAGAAGACTGACACCCTGGTCGGAGGAGGAGAGGAGCATGTCCAGGGGAGAACAGAGGACGCCGCTGCGACAGACAATGTCAGACGAGGTGCCCACAAGGCTGAACATGCTGGCGATCATGCCGTAATATGTGTCATTGTTCAATAAGTCGGAAGAATAAAGTAGAATGGCTTTCAGGTGAACTGACCAAGACCAACGATAAATTGTAGTGGTGCAACATGGCCTGAAGCATTGTCTCAATAAAGAAAAGATATGCAACGTAGTCGTACAGGTACAGATGCCTGAAATAAATTGGGAGCGTGCATTTTTGAATATCTCATCAATGTTTCTACCAAGAGCGCACAGTGCACACCCACATCTACCTGCGATAACTACATTTTCCAATTCCGATCCCGGATCCGCTATTACGCTAGTGGGTGAGCACATGTGCGATGCACAAAGCCGATATACTCTTGGGTATCTGCATTTCCATCGGACACAGCTGTGAGAATGTCAATGACCTCAACCGCACAGCTGTTCTCCCCAAATGTCGAGCCATCCGATACATATGTAGGTAGGTATGTGAATTCGTGAACTGCCGTTTTTGCTCACACCAGCCTAAAGACGGAAACTGAAGATCATTAGGTACTCAAACTTTGTCTTATACATTGAATGCTGATTGGCGGAACTAACCTTTACAATCGGTAAAGCTTCATATAAAATCACAAGCATACAGCCTTTTCAGGCAAGCACCAACAGCTATCTTGAAAGTTGAACTGAGCGCGGCAGACTGCAGCACACTACCGTAACACAAATTGAGGGATACGTGCTCCAGGGGAACATGCTGTCCAGCAGCCTGTACGCATTTTGTAAACGAAAAGGCAGCATCTACTACATGTGAAATGAGTACCATTTACAGGAAACAGCTGTGGATCTATAAAACATTCACCGCCGGTATTTTCACGGCCTTTGTCCGGCATATGACTGAAGCCATACCGGGACTGCCGTATACCGTATACCACCATCGACATAATTGGCATTGGCCTACAATGCGTGTAACCTTGGTGCTGGGGCTGCCCGCAGGTATGTTATTTACATCTCTGACCCAGAGCGGGGTCCAGGGTCATGGTGGCGCCTCGGGGACCAGACCCTGACCTACAGGGAAACGTCAGAGTCGCATTCTGCCGCCAGCATGGGACGGCTGACGAGCGGGGCTAGGTAGAGTGGATTGAAAATGGAGCAGACATTTACGTAGATGACATACGGATTTTTTAGTCCATAAGTCTTGACCTGGAGAGGTAAGTTTATTTTAGATTTTATTTTTTTTTCAGAACACAATAATTCAGTTCCAAATTATTTTATCTTTCAGAAATAATTAACGATATAGCCATCGGTTGAACCGTTTGCAAATTCTTCGCTCGCCGTCGGTCTCGAGCCACACGCAATGTCGCAAGACGCGTGTTCCGCTACGCGGGGTGTCGCGCGGCGCAGTATACGCGCAAGGCGCATACACTAGCGACACCTATGAGCGCGAAAGGAAACTAAGACGACTGAGCCATGCGGCACAGCACCCTTCAGGCGCTACAAGTAGTGACATCTAGCGGCCGGGATCACGACTACATCAGCAAAACGCCAGCGGCTGATCACCGTCAGGTAGGATCAAGTGGGTCTTCTTTGCTGCTTCGCCGGGCAAAAGTCACTGTGTACTCCAACGATATCCAGCTTGCTAGCACAAGTCATAACTCAGTGCACCAACAGACCACGAAAATTCCCCAGATGAGTTACGGCCCCAAAACTTGGTGGGTTCAGGCCGACGGAAGGCAAAACTAGAGTCATAAACAATGACCCTTTTGTACCTCATTGCACGGGGAATCTCTCGACTCTCAATTTGCTTTGTTGGGATATCAGCGAACGCCCTTTCTCGATGGGCACAAACCAATTACCTTTCACCTGTAAGCAGAAAGGCAAAACAGACGGCCAGTTCCCACTCATGGCTAAGATAAAGTATAGCTATTTTTCCGATGTCCAACGGGGCAGTTGGAACCCAGCTTTCTTATGCATCTGCATTTACTGTTCAGTTCATCTAATGTCCTCAACATAGCTGACAACACAGCATGCCTACTGCTCCAGACATCGGTAGGTGAAATACTGATACCCTAACCCGTCCCACATTTCTATTATCTCCCATATAGGCCCACACCATCCAGTCATCCACTTTCGAATCTTTCAACAGAGCTAACGTAGTCTTTTCAGGCTTTCATTCAGCATCTCATCCGCATATTCTCCTCACGGTGCAAACACCAAAAACACTTACGACAACGGTGTATTATTATATGCATACTGATATTGATACCGGCGCGGCTCGGATAAAAAGAGACCTCGTTCCTTTAAAAACGGACCGCCCTATCTGTCACCCTTGTCCGATCGGGGAGGGAATGCCATCACGCGCACCGACACCAAGGGCGGCGCGTGACTAGTGCCACCTAGCGAGCGCACGGCCAACTATAACTTGCCGCGCCGGCCGCACTGAGTATTGCGGGGGCGACTCGAGCCCCGCCTAACCGGGCGCGCGTGCGGATAGAGGAGGCAGAGAGGGAGAGGCACCACAGGTTTGTACCAGACTCGCCACGCGCACTCGGCCCGCGCTCTCCCCTCTCTCTCTTGCTCTACATAGATCAGCGCCGCGACGGTACAACCACTACCCAACACCTAGACCTGCATAGAAGAACACATCTCTACGGCGACGCGCTCGGCGTACAATACTTAGTCTAAAACCTTAACCTAGCATTTTTAGTGGTTTTCTGTGGTCATTTTCACATTTGAGAGAGCGGCGTCGGGGGGTTGCGGCGCGGCGGTCAGACGTTTTCCAGCGGTGTTTTGGAGCGATCTCGAGCTACATGACCTGGCTCGGGATGACCTCCGAGTCACATGACCTGGCTCGGGCTGACCTTCGCGACCGCGCGCCCCCGACGCACCCCTGATCACCGTCACAGAGTGTCACATATCGTCACATGGCGTCACATATCGTAACACGACCGGCGTACAGTACGCCACCTGCAGAGACTAAGCCATATCACAAAGGTCATTCTCTCACTCTCGAACGGTGCCGCAGACGCACATACAAACGGCTAGGTTTGGGCCAAGGGCGACAACCGCTGGCGCGCTTTTGGCTTACAGTCCGCGCCAGTTGCCATGGCAACTGGCGGGACGGCGCGCGACCCCACCTGAATGCGCATTGACCGCGGTTGCACGACCGAAAACCGTGCACAGTTATCCGCGGGGAGCGCACCCTCACACACAAACGCACGTTTTTCACATCACTGGATACAATTGAGACTACCCTGCGAGCCGCTCCCGCCAGGAGAACAGAATTTGGGCGTTTATACTTTTGTTTTGAGATTTGTAGCTTTTCGATTACTTCCAAAAACACCACTTGGCGTCACGCTTAAGTAAGGGTTTGTACTGGGCGGGAAGCTCGCTCGAGGCGATGCGACCAATCACAGGCAGCCACGCTAACCGCGTCGGCCAATCACAGACTCGCACTCCGACTCTGAGCCAATAGGAAGGCCTGCCGCGCGCACACGCGACGCAAGGCAACAGAAACTGGAGGGAGGCAAGCGGGGGAGGCCGCGGTGGCTACAAAGACTCGAAGACCCGCCGCCGACTGACGAAGACGACACAGCTCGGTCGAATGGTCGGTAACGGCGCGGGTCACTACCCAATACCACATGAACTCTCCCTACACGGAGTCACCAAACATCGCGGAGCGCGACACACACCAACAAACAAACATACATACAGCGGGCAAAACACACGACATAAAATCAGCACGGGACATAATTTTCGCGGCAAATTGGCGTCTCGTTACACACATATAGTCAGCTCTGTTTGATGCTCAGCTGAAAAACAGCAATACAGCCTCGGGCCACCCGAGAAAGGGATCCTCCGCGCAGTCGATGTCAGTAGATTATACACTACCGCGAGCACAGCACACGGAGCTCTACCATTGAGGAAACTCTGCTGCAAGCATTGGCAGATAATCAGAAAAAAACCGGCTACCATTGTAGCATGGTAGGAAAAAAGAACTAGGCAGACGCCCATGGCAGGGAATCAGAAGCGGGGAAAGTTTAGCCAACGGCAGGCAAATTAACAAGACGAACGGACCACAAGCACATACACAAGCACATAATACAACAACCCATAGAGATTCTGCTGGGGCTAGATCAAAATGCCATGGTTGACGCATCTTATAACTAAATAATCACTGGAGCGAGACGATCGTGCTTGGTTTATGGACCAGGGTATTTCGCCACGTAGCAGCGGGACGGGGGAGGAGGGGGGGACCAGGGGGTCAGGGTCAGGGGTACCCGGGGTCTCGAAGCCGTCTGGTAGGCCGTCGCGCACCGCTCGCCACGTCGCCGAACCCCCAGATGAGACGCGGCGTTCGATACCGCACGGACTAGGCGGCCCGGCAGACACAAGCTCTGACACGGGAAAAGAAAAAAAGAAACAGAGGAACAAAAAGAGTGACGACGAGATTTATACTGATTTCTCAGAAAAACTTCAAAGAGTTAACTCTTAAAGAAAAGAAGAAAAGTGTGCAGTGTGCAGGAACATGAAGAAACGAATACTGTTGAGAATAACAATGAGCGAGATGAAAGACGTGGCTGAGATATATGTAGAAACAGGTAGGACACAATGACAAGTGAAGACATTTTTGGAGCATGATTGAGCTAACTCGATGAAAGACAAAGCGACAGATAAGAAAGGAAACGAATTTTCAGATCCTGAATGATAAAAAAGCTTGTAGAAAACCCGTACAACTTTTGAATAGAAAGACAAATTCCGCAACGCAAGGTAATCAAATCAGAGTCTGTCCCGCCGGGTGCCTACTATCCCCCTCCTTCCCGGGTTCGAACCGCCGCGCCTCCCAAACTTAACCTAGATAGGAAGATGGCTCCTTGAGCCACTGAGGTCCGCTGCCCCGGCGCCGCCCGGGCGGGGGCGGGGGCGGGGGCGGGTCCTCCCCGCCGCTCGCGCCGCCCTGCCCTGACTATTGCACTGGCCCAGACGGCACCGCCACATTCTGCAAGAAACTCCCCCACTGTGCCTGAGAAAAGATCGGTTAAAGCGTCTCCGACTGCTTGTGGCGCCACCTATAGCAACAGTTGCGGATTGGTCCAAGAGATGGCACTGGCGGCGCGCCCGCGCCCTGAATGACTGTTTGTTTGTACTCTGCGCGACACGGTCGCTTCACTCCCGCACTCACTCGCTCTCTCGCACTCTCTCTCACTCGCTCTCTCCCTCTATCGTCACCGGTGACCGCGTCTTTGGCGTGGGGTCGACCGGCGGAAGAGTTTGAACGACACAGCCGGTCCCGGGCAAGACGGGCAGACTCTGCCGCTCCTTACACGCTAATATCACACGACGGGGCCGGCGCGCGGCGGCGGCGGCGGCGGCCCACCGGACTCGCTCAGGGACCTCGGCTCAGGCGGGGCGTGGCGGGGCGGGAAGGGGGAGGGAAAGGGGGGAGCGGGAAGCTGCCGACGAAGCACTGGCACTAACACTTGGCGGGCCTACAGCTCCACCTGGGGACACCTAAGCGCGCTCGGAAGGCCGCATGAGCGCACCATCACCGCAAAAACTTCTACCACCAGCCGGATTCGAACCCGCGACGGCCCGATGAGCTCCGTTAGCGCCCAGGCGCTGATATGACCAAAATAACCCTCACAGACCGATACTACTCGGTCGAAATCACGGACACGATCAAATCACAGGGCGCATGCGTCGAAAGAGAAGCCTGATTGGTCATGAGCGATTTCCACCGCCACTAAAACTTATGGAGACCGGCCTCTGTCGGCCGGGCCACGCGGTGGACTTAATCCTACTCTGAACACATACCTTAAACGCTATAGTCGTCTCGTCTCAGCCTTGTAGCAAAGCTCGCGGCAGGGCCGCTCATCTGGCTTCATATAGCAGCAACAGTAGCATGTAGCAAGGTGGTAGCACAGCTGACTCACAGCTACGCAACTGCGCACCGAACTGGATCAGCTTGGCCGGCTTAACCACTCACATACGCGTCAACTCGACGCATTTGTAACAGTGACTCTCCTCTTTCAAGTTTGTCCTGATTTGGCGTATCAGACCACTAGGGCTGCCAGGTTAAACCTCAAACGCAGCTCGTAAGTTCTCCTCATCAGCGTTTGGCATAACTGATCTTTTTAATACTCCTCCGGTCAAGATAATGTCACAAGTGACGAGTTCATGGCATGTCTTGTCTTTGATCTTCTTTGAGATGAGTCCATTTGTCAGAAGTTTCCCTCGAGGAACTGCATCCCTGAGAACACCCCGGTTCCTCCGACCCTCAGGGATCCTCACGGATCCCAGGGATCCTCACCGGTCCCGGGGTTCCTCAGGGGCGTTCCGCAGCTCATCTAGAGCAGTCCGTCGGGCAGGAAGGGTCCGCGACCGGGCTCCTCCAGACCTCCGGAGGCGGCCCACAGGGAGCTGTTCCCGGCGGCCGAGCTGCTGCTCCAAGCCATGCTGGCGCCGCCGCCGCCTGGACGCACATGGACAGAGGTTAGGGGGAGACCTATCGAGATGGGGTATGTACGGCCCTCCAGGTATCAGAAGGTTGATTGCCAACATCATAATTATCGATCTGCATTTGATCAGTTAAGTCTACATGCTATAAAAAATAGTCGAAGTGTCCGCTCATAAAATTACCATGTTTCTATCCAGTCATGTTACTGAAGTGCCTGAGCCATTCAAAATCATCCCAGAAATAAATCGGCTGGCCAACCACTCTTCTGCTGGAGGGCCGTGCATTATACAGGAGAAAACAGACTGACATACAGTCACGAAACGGTCAGAAACATACACACAGACAGACAGGCACTGGCAGACAAACACATTACACACATGGAGAAGACAGCCCCTGTGTTCGCTTTTTCTCCACATGTCATGTATTTTATTCATGTTCCGTCCTCGTCTTTGTTTTTTTTTTTGTCATACATTATGTGTTTTGTTTTTTCGTAATACTTTCGTGTGTAAACCCTGCTTCGGGCGTTTCTCCCAGCACGTCCCACTTAACTTTCATCTCGTTTTTACGGGGTTCGTCATTTTTTACCCCAACGCCCGAGTCATCCAAGTTTCCCAAATCTCATTCCATACTCTAAAATCCGCTTGTCACCTTCACTCGTTCTGCACTTCGCAATATTTATGCCACTGTCATCTCCCACCCCAACTCTCTAATACATCCCCCTTCTTGCCCTCACTCACCAATAGCGTCCGTCATATCACTCCAGGCGGCCGATGCGGGCGGTTTGGACCCGCTCTGGCCTCCTGTAGCCGCGCCCTGGCTGGCGGTCGAACTGGCAGGGTTGGACGGGGGCTGACCACCTCCGCCGCCGCCGCCGGGAAGGCCCAGCTGCTGGAGGACCTGACCGGCCGCCTCGTCGGAGACAGCCTCAGCCAGGATGGTGGTGTTACTGAGCACGCAGTTGTTGAGCGCGCCCTGGGCCTGCGGAAGGCGAGGGAGGCGATGGCGATACAATGAAGACTATTGATATAATGCTGTGGAGAAAAAAAATGGGAGTCTTGTACCTGTCCATAAGGGGGCATCAATTTTGCGCTGTGATGTGTAAACGAAAAATAACCGGGACAATGAAACATATTTTGGATATCCTCAATTTCGAATTGTGACGCGGAAACGAGCTATCCCAAGGAGAAGGGAATACACAAAATCGAGGCAACACCCACACAGAGTAGTTAAGTAATCTTACCCACACATGCTATTGGGATCGCAAGAATAAAGTGAATGAGCCAGATATTAAAAATAATTCGAGCACTAGAATTGTGCGAGATAATAGTGTACACCAGAGCGCACCAGCTGGTGGAAAATCACTCCTTCCTACCAGCTGGCACTTCTTCATCCAATGCCCCTACCTTGGCGGCCTCCTCGCGAGAGCTGTACTTGACGAGCGCCACGCCCTGGCTCAGATACATGTGGAACGTGTACAGAGGACCGTGCTGCATACACAGAGTCTTCAGCGTCGAGCCGTCAATCTGGGGGTGGGAGGGGACAGAGTCAGAATCCGAGTGGAATAGTCATCAGGTAGACTGTGCCTTTGTGGGAGGCGTCAGTCGGGAGTGGGTAAAAGTGTATCGAAGTCGGAGGCATAAAGTGGAAACAGAATATGATCCAAACTCAGACAAAGTCAGAATAATTCATAATGCATAAAAAATACACACCAGACACACGTCCCATTTATTTACCCTGATATCATAGCCGGAAGATCATCAGCTATGCCCATATCTCAACAATGCAATGCTATCCACGGTTACACCCAGGTTACATCTCGTTAATCGTTTACAACAACCGAATATCAGCTCACCTGCGCGGTCAGGTTCCTCAGCAGCAGCCAGGCCGATCCTCCGCCTCCACCGCCACTGTAGCTGCCGCCCTGGACCTGGGCAAACGCCGAGCGTTGGTCGTACGGTCCCCCGGGCCGGCCCAGAGCTCCGCCGGCCTGGCCGCCGCCCCAGCCGCCCGTTTTGTTCAGGCCTGGCGGCGGACCGCGAGACTTGACGCCCCAGTCGGCGCCGCCGCCACCGCCGCCGGCCGACATGCCCGGCTTGCCGCTGTTGGAGGGGGCGAGGGTTAGGGTGGATATTAAGTACCACTTCTCAGTAACCCGCGCTGTTGGCGAAAGATGTAACCGAAAATAAAAATGGCGACAATGTGCTTATAGAGCCTCAAGTAACTGCTTTTTTATCTATATGGATCTTTCTAGATATCCGGCTTCTGACTTCTGCAATAAGAAATATTGCACAAAAATGATGCAAAGATGCATAAGCAGCATAAGTCACTAAACAGTTATAAAAAAACACACAGTAGCCTGTTCAAGTAAGGCCAGGAAGCATGTCATGGACCAATAATAGCGGGCGCTTCCTTCCATCCTTCTCTGCGATCTGTCCCATCATCTCCTCACAGCAGGCAGACTGCAGCTCTCACCCGTTGGGATTAAAGCTCCAGGTGGAGCTGCCAAATCCGTCTGCCGTGGTGGCGGTCGGCGACGCCTTGCCGGTCTGCATGGCCAGCAGGTCCTGGCTGGATCCGGCCGCTCCGGCCAGTCCCAGCGGCGAGCGTGCCGCAGCGCCCGGCGTTAGAGTCGGGTCGTCGTCCGCGGACTTCATCTGCCGCCACCGACAGACGGCGTTAAAGGGGGCGAGGGGAGGGAACGGGTACCGGTGATGAACTAGCAGTACTCTATGTTTGGTAATTTGGTTATATGTAGATACGGCCGGGGTCATTGGCAATATATCATGAAATACAGTCAAAATGCCGAAATCGTCACGGGCATCGAAACAAACGGGTTAAATTCTAAAAGCTACAGCTCCACTCAAGCCCACTAAAAAAGAAAAGAAATGACGAAGAATAGCTGTTGTTCCACGCACAAATCAGACAACCAGTTGTTCATATATCTATCAAAATAAATACAGCCAAAGCTAATTCATTTCAATCTCATTACAGTTACTCTCGGCATCAGACCATTCCTTGACATACCTAAGGCCCATTCCTAAGGCCCTTACACCATTCCAACCTTCCTTTATCCTCTCGCCATACCCCTCGCTCTCACCTTCCACGGTTTTCCCGGCTCAAACTCGGGCACCAGGTCGGCATAGCTGTGCCCTCCGGCTCCCCCGGCGCTCTCCGGCCAGCCGTCCTTGCTGTCCTGTCTGTCCGAGGCCGGTGTGGAGGGCGCGCCGCCGCCGCGGCCCGCCGACCCGTCCGGCCAGCCGCCGTCCCTACCGCCGCGGCTGGCAGACCAGGCACTCTCGGCCATCAGGGTCATGGGCGGAGAGCCGCCCGCCTTGCTGGCGGAGCCCGGCGCGCGAGAGAAATCCTCGTCACCACGCAGCAGCTGCGAAAGGGAGTAAAAAATTATGGCTAGTTGGAGGAAAAATTCGGAAATGCATACTGAATGTTCTAAGCTAAAAATCTTAGAAAAAAATAAGCGATGATCAGAGAACATCGAGCAATAATTACCAATGTATAAGTATAAATATTACTACAAAAAATTATGTTGCTGTTTTTATATTGAAAGAAGGAAAGATTGTATCAACAAGGTGCGAATTTAAATTTGAATCACTAGCACCATCAGGCTTGTTGGTGACTTTGTAGACCTTGGGAACGTCGGCAGGCATGGAGATGTAACAATGTAATGTCACAGACAAACACATAGAACAAGGGAGGCCCAAGCACTGAGCCTTGCGGCACCCCGCTTGTTACATACATTCAGTCTGAGAGTGATCCAATAACGTTCAGTCGTTCACCCTTTGCCACTTGCCAGTTAAAACGTTTGCGGTGTCCGGAAATTTGCCCACTTAGATGCATCATCAAAGCAACCAACAAATAAGTCACCAGCAAAAAAGAACTCAGTCGTCACACCACGTCCCAGCCCTTTCCAGCTTATATCCCCTCCAATCTTAGCCCCAAATAGAGGCCGGGAATAAAGCGTGGTGGGAGGGGCTTTTCCATCACCTCGCCACACTTCCATTGCATCTGCCTTTCTCTTCCCTCCTCCTCTTCCCACTCACCTTATCGGCGGTCGGCAGTTTCCACTGGCTCAGGCGGCTCTGCGGCATGTGTCCGGCCGCCACGCCGCCGTCGCGAATGCTCAGCTCTCCCAGATTAGCTGGTAGTCCGTGCAGATCGGGCGCTCCGCCGCCGCCCGGTCCCTTGTAGAGGAGCTGTCCGCCGCCGGCCGCCGCGGCCGCCATCGGCGCCGGCGCAGGAGGCGGCTGCTGCTGCTGCTTGAGTAGCATCGTCTGCTGGCTGGATATCTGGGCCTGTAGAAACGAGATAGTATGGAGTTAAAGCTGGGAGTTGGGAGAGCTGAGTTAGAGCAAAGGCTGGACGGACAATATGTTAGACCTAGGAAGCGAGGGTGGGACGAACACAGCATAATTAGAGCGAGAGTTCGAAGTCAAAAGGAGTGTCTGTTGTTTGCTAGGGTTTAGGGCTGCGTAGGCCTTCGGCAGCAGCTGGGCCATCATAACGATTCGAGAGGATAGTCTTTCTCCTCCCTGTTATTTTCTCTCTCTTTCTCAAACCCCCTCTTTCCTTCTCTCCCTCCATGACTCTCACCTGTATATTGGAGATGTTGTTTTTTATTCTCATCATCTCCATCTGCAGACTGTGCAGGTGGGGCGAGTTGTTGGGGTGGCCGCGGGCCAGGTGAACCTGACGACTCAGCTGGTCCAGGTGCTGCCGAGACACAGGTCAGATATCAACACCAGGTCACACCCCCACCATTACGGCCAGAGGTAGTGCGGGTTAACACGTTAGGTGTCCGAATACACGTCGCCTAACCGAACTTAAGTTTGAGGATCATGCATTTATCAGCATTACGATCCAAGCTGGACAATAGTAACATAAGCATTAGTTATAAGATTATGTTGTTTAGAGCAAGACATAACGTGCGCAGCATGTCTCTGTTAGCAATAGCAAACGACAAACGTTAAAATATTGTATGTACACGAGTCATGAGATAGTCACTTCAGCTACGAGCCACACTCCCTCACTCAACAATAAACTCCCAGCCCTGTCCTAACACAGTCCAGGCCAGCCCAGCCCGGCCCAATCCTAACACAGTCCCGTCCAGTTCAGCATTGTACAACCCAACCCAGTCCAGTCTAGTCCACCTCAACCCAGTACAGCACAGCACAGCACAGCCTAACCTAGACAGAGACCCATCCATCTCCCTTCCCACCCTGCCGTACCTTGATCTGGCTGAGCAGATGGTTGAGCAGCACCAGCGTCTGCGGCGCCATCGGCTGCTGCAGTATGGCCGGGTTCAGGTGTCCCGCGTGCACGGCCATCTGGATCTGGTTGATGAGCGGCCGCAGCTGCTGTGGGGACGGCTGGGGAGGCTGGCCGGGGAACCGGGACGGCTGGCCGCCCTGCGCCTGCTGACGGAGCAGCTGCTGTACTACGGCCGGGTTGATGTTACCGGCGGCTGGAGCCTGTGGAAGGGGATGGGCGGGTCAGGTCAGGTCGGGTCAGGGGCGGGTCAAGTCAAGTGAGGGGTCAGAAGCCTCACTACTACAAAGACGCGGGCATCAAGTAGCATCTAGTCAGCGGGATCGAAGGCAGCACTATCCATCAACTCTCTACTCTAACCATAAATCATCACACTTGATCATTAGTAATTACTTTATCAACAAGAAAATTAACAATGGCCTTCCTCAAAGCAAAAACATGCCTCGTGTTCCCTCCAAATTTCGTCACTCTAAAAATGTTCTCTCGCCTTATTATCCATCGCCCTTTCATCGTCCCTCACTTTCACCCTCCATCCGCTTTACCCTACCTACCCCTCTCCCCGACTCTCACCCCAGCAGCGGGCAGCTGAACACCACCATAGGGCGCGTGCGGCGGCGGCATCTGAGAGAAGCCGGCCGGCTCGAACGGCGGATGGTCCGGAGTGCGCCAGTCCCCTGCGGGCCCGCCCGGGCCCCCGGCTCCTCCGGCGCCGCCTCCCATCCGCAGCTGGTCCACGGCGTCCTCCAGCGTCAGCATCATGTTGTTGCGCATCATCGGGTCCACGTCGTCATGCTGGAAGCGAAATGAAGAGGGGGGGGGGGGAGGATACAGGTTATTTAGTGAAATATAAACGGTACGGCGGATGGGCACGTGATGAAGTTATCTCTAATGCAATGTGCAAAAGCGTGTATGAAAGTGTTAGTAACTTAGTGATTTTATTTGAACAGTATTCTAGAATGGTGTGTAAGTTTATGTTAGTTGAGAAAGCCAGTACATTTAGCTGGTTGACAGAACAGCTATAATAGTGGTTACATTAGTGTGCAGCTACTCATTCTAGGAGGACGAGATGGAGCACCTCGTTCTAATCGAGACAAAACTCAACTTGCTGGCAAGGAAGAGATGTCTACCATAACGTCCACAAGAAGACGTTTGTTTCAGGTTTCGACCATCTTCCACTTACAGCAAATCAAGGAGATATTTCGAACCAGCCCAGACGAGCATGCCCATGAGAATGCCGGACAAGAGAGCGTCCCAGCCCAGCCCATACTCACCGTTTCTGCTCACTACACCATTCCATTCTCTGTGTCATGGACTCATAAATCTCAAGAAATTCATGACCATCATTTATTATGTATGCATCATGCATCATGAACTCATATATCATGAATATTTATCCTCGTGATTTCTCCAAAGTACCCACCTTGAATCCGTGGTCTCCCATGCGGGCCTTGTCGTACATTGGGTTCTTGGCGTGTCCCATGCCGCCGGCGGGTCCGCGGCCCTGGACAGGCGGGGGCGGGGCGGGGGCGGGGGCGGGGAGACTCAGTTCCAACGGCCCTCGGACGGGTAGGGGGTCACCCGGGATGGGGGGGGGGGGGGGGGGGCACGGCACACGCACACCACACGGGAACACCAGTGATGTCTTTGGTTTGAATACGAGGGAGAAACTGAGACAGTCTGAATTAATTTGTTCAGCAAGTTCAAACGAAATACTTCCAGGCGGCTTGCTCAGGAAAGTTCAGGCTAAGATACTGAAGGTTTGGCCGAAAGTTCGGCTGAAGCTCGTCGCTCGAACTTAACCCTCGCCCGTATAGGGGGGGGGGGGGGGTCGAACGGACCCCCCCATGGTTTTTCGCGAATAACTCGCGTAAAAAGCGGCCGATCGCGACGAAACTTTCAGTGCCCTCGCGTTCATCAATTTCACACCTACCCTGAAAATTTCATGACCCTGACCCAAATGACCTTTGACCTGTGACCTACTTTTCGAGACCATGTTTGGCTGGAATCGCGATTCGGCGTATGTCGGCTCGCATTAGCCGCGCGTTTGCAGTCTTTTCGTGGTTTCAAGCGTTCAAACATGTGATATGATGTTGCCCCCATGCATTAGGGTGGGTGTCAAGGTCACCTGAAGGTCAGGTCAGGTCATTGACCTTTGATGACCTCGGTTCACTTTTTCAAGTTTTACATGTTTCTAGACCAGTTTTTGGAGCTGAATTCGAATTTAGCAACCATATGACCATTTACGAAGTAGTTTTGGTGCCTTCGTAACATGTTACGAAGCTGTCAGAGGCGGTTGCCACCTACTACGAATACCCTTACTGGTTGACCTGACCTGACCTGACCCGACCTGGCCTAAATACATGAAGACATCATCTGTGATCAAAACTAACATGATATTCGTGATCAGCACCCCGAAAAACCCCATAGCAGCCACACTTTACGACGTTCTAACAGGTCCCGATTTTCCCGCCTTTGGGGTCATTGACCTGACCTGCAAGGTCAACCAATGACCTAGGACCTTAAAATTAGGTATCATCGGCTTCCTCTCGTCACGGGCAACACGCTCGTTTTTTCCGCGAAGCTCTAGCTCGATCAGGGGCGAAACGGCAAGGGGGGGGGGTCCAACGGACCCCCCCCCCCCCTTATACGTTCGCGGCTGGAAAAACACCAATACGGGCGAGGGTTAAGATATTTAGATAAAATCTTATGCTCTGAATACAGACCTTTGATATTTTTGGCGCACCAAATATTGGTTCACCAATGACATCACTAGTGAAAACGCAGTGATCACCAGTGAGATTACCATCACCAATGATCACCAATTAAAACACAGGGACACACACAGGGCAACAGCACACGGGGATTCACACCCACAACCCCGCAGAGACCCAGCCAGGCTGCTCTTTGTACAACAGCTTCTGTTATTCATACCAAATTAATTTGGCACACCTATCATGACTTGGCTGGTCTAGAAAACATGGTTTGATAACTGCCACCAAAAGCACATGTTGAAGCCCCAACATACTATAACTATCACATATTAAACGAAATAGGAAAAAACACAGGACAAAACGAGGGAGCGTGAAACCCTAGTACGACAAAAACGATCTACCAAAAAAACTGAAACCACAACCGATACAAAACCATCTATGTGGCTGTCATGGACGCGGATGACACGATAAAACAAAGCCAAGCGAGACTCAGCACACACTCAGAGTTAGATGCGACCTGTTCTTACCTTACTACCTTCCTAAAAGTCCAACAAAAGTCAACTATATAACGATTCTCTAAAGCGAAATAGAACTTCCCACCTTCCTTTCTGAAGGAAGGAGGGTGCTTTTCCCTTTCCCAAAACTATGTTTGTGTCCTATAATTACTCAAAATTTTTCGCTCAGGCCTTACCTGATCCTCCCCCTCCCTCACCCCTCCTATCCTCTCTCCTCACCTTGGCCGCCCAGTCCATCTCGGGCTCTCCCCAGGCTCCGGGCATTACTGGCGTGGTGGGCGTCTTGGGTTTACCCCATCCTCCGGGCCCGTCGCCTCCCCACTTTTCCTCGGCGCCCCAGCCGGCCGGGCCGGGCGCGGGCTCGCCCCAGCCGCCGCGCGGCGGTCGGCCCCACGGGTCGACACCCTTGTGGTCGGGCGGCATCCGTGAGAGCATGTGTAGGGGCGCGGGCGGGCCGCCCGGGAGGACAGGACGCACGGGACCGGCGTCTTTCCAGCCGCCGCCGCCTCCGCCGCGCTTGTTGCCTGGAAGAGAAGACAAGAGCATTGCTTAGAATTATCACAAATTAATTTGAATTTAAATTCAATTTAAAATTCATTGAAGATAAATTCGACCAACCAGGGAGATAAAAAATGAAACATTGGGGCGGAAAGGGGGGGTATTGCTGAAGCATGCTAAACATTCTTGAAAGTAAACACCATGAATGTCAGAAATAGCGCATCGTATCCAGTTTACAGCGACTCGATACGTGCATAAGCGTCAAAGATTACGGCTGGATGATCACGCATGATCCATGATGTCCCCTGACCATCCTCTCGTGTCTGTCACCCACTCCGTCCATGAGTCGACTCCTATCCCCCTATCACGTGACACAACAAGCTCCCCCATCCCCACTATCACGTGCCACTCACCCCAGTCGTCGAATCCCATGGATCGCCGGGCCATCGGCGGTGACCGTTCGTCGCCCCACTGGCCGGGACCGTGCTGTGGCGGACCGCCCCACTGAGACGGAGGCTTGCTGCCTGCTCAACACACGAAGGATGACACGGTCAGTAAAAACGGCCAGTCAGTAATACCCATACGGCGTGACGAGAACGACTTTTTGATATTATTGGAATTTGATTGCAATTAGAATCATAGAGAAAACTGCGCAAATCTCAGAAGCAGATCGTGGGATAACAAAAAAGCGACGCGTTAGGTAGCATGCAACTATATGGCGCTAATTTGTTTTACGTCAGCAAAGACGGGCGACGTCGAATGATCAAACGTACGAAAATGCAAAAAGTGTATGACTACAAAGCATAAACCTCTGAAAATCATCTACGACAACTGCTGCAACCCCTGCCCGCCTCTCACCCCATCCGTCTCCGTTGGGCGCGGGTCCGCGCGCGTCCCACGGCTTGCCACCTCCCCAGTCATCCTTCCGGGCGCCGGCCGCCCACAGAGCCGCTGCTCCGCCGCCGCCTCCTCCGCCCCCGCCCGTGGCGCCGCCCCATTGTCCAGTGGGCGGACCGGCAGGGGCGCCCGTCCACATACCGCCCGGCTGCCGGGTGCATAACGGGATCATGTCAACTGAGCACGGAACTAAGGCAAGTACGGAATTACACAAGACAGTACAAGTGAATGAAGACAGCAAAGCACAGCACTTATCTTACCCCGCGACAAGTCTCATGCATCGTTTCTACTGTCTTGCACTGTCGTACACTGTGCTGTACTGTACTGTACTGTACTGTGTGTGCAGACTGTAGCCTGGGTGCAGAATACCCGCCATGTGGACGCTCCGCTCCCGAATACATTAACTTGTTCTTGAAGAAACGATCATGGGGAATATTCCTTCCCGGCGGCCCTCCATCACCTCCCCTTTTTGTCCCCTTACCTCCCTCCTCGCTAAGTCCACGTCCCTCACTCCCCCTCCTCTTCCGTACCTGTAAATCGTCGTCCTCGCCCCAGGTCCCTTCAATGTTGGACTGAGTATATGGTTCCCGTGGTTACCCCCGTTTGGTTACCTGCGAGTCGTCATCCTCTCCCCAGGTCCCTCCTATGTTGGACTGGGGGATATGGTGCGGCCACTGGGTTTCTGGCGGCTTCACGGGCGGAGCTCCGCCGTTACGGGTGGACATTTGCCACACTTCCAGACCTGGAGCAGAGCGAAAGACACAGTTCGTCAGGGGTGGGGAAATGAACCGACAGGGGTAGAAGATCCATTTATGCCTGTGTCTTGTGATAGAAGAATTATCAGAAGCTTTTAAGACACGGATGGTATATAGTCGGTTAAAAGAGCTGTTGACTAACACTTGATTCACTCTTATTCCACGTCCTGTCTCCGGCCTGTCCCCATCCTTCCTTTTCCCTCGATCATTTCCTCCCTTCTTTCTCTTCGTCCCCTCTCCCCTCACTCCCTCTTCCTCTTCACTCACCGTTGTTCACTCCTGGCAGTTTCCAGGCGACCATCGTGCCCGGCGGTTCCTTATCGGCCGGCTCCGGGCTGGCCGGCATATCCCACACACTGTCCTGGTTGACCTGACTGCTGGACCAGCCCTCTGTGGCCGTGATGGCCGCCCTCATCGCCTTCAGACGCTCCAGGTCGGAGGTGTCGGCGCCGCCGCCCTGCGGAGCGGCCGGCGCGGCGGGCGAGACGGCCGAGCCGCCGCCGCCGCTGCCGTTACTGCCCGAGGAGGAGCCTGCGGGAAACGGAAGGGGAAAGGGTGAGATGACTGAGAAAGGAGGACGACAAAGACGCAAGAGTTCTGTATGAAATCGAGCAGTTTATCTCAATACGACCATGCACTGATGAAGTTATGAAGCAGTCTCCGTCTACCTATGCGACGATGGATGCTGCACGCAAAAACCTTCGTTAGTAGCGACGAAAAGTAAATCATTTCAGGAAGTTCATATAAATGTGGAGTGCGTTTCTTCTGCATGACCTTAGCTTTTTTTCGTCACTGCTTCTCAGTCAACGCATTTTATTTTTCTACCTACATTTCCACACAAAATTCGACATCTCACCATTTCTGATATCCCATGGCATAACATTTTCACATTCCTCTCTGCCTCAGCCGTTGTGACCCCACCCTTTACAATGCACCGACCTTCGGCTGCCGTCTGGGCGGTTCTCTGGCCGGCCGTGGCGCCCGTCTGGGGCTGCTGCACCCCTCCCGCCGACTCCGGCACCGCTCCGTTCTTGGCGGCTCCTCCCGCGGCTCCGGGCGGGGGCGGCGCGGCGCCGGCGGGCGGTGGGGCGGCACCGGCCGGCCGCCCAGCGCCGCCCCACTGGCCCGGAGGCGGGCCCGGCTGACCCCAGTTGGTGGTGCCGGTGGCGGCGGTGGCGGCGGCCGGCGGCGGCGCGCCCCAGCCGCCCGTGCCATTGTTGCCAGTGCTCTCGCCCCCGCCGGCCAGCCGGGCCCAGCGCGGCAGACGCCAGCCGGCGGTGGAGGCGGGACCGCGCGGCGGCACGCGCTGCAGGGTGGCCAGCGCGGCCGCGGCCGCAGACGGACTCAGCTGCGGGGGAGAGGGGACAGGTGGTAAACGGCGGCTCACCGTTAAAAGGAAAAACTCTCTTAACCTGTCGTAACCTCTTGTAACCTCGTTATGAGGTCTCGACATGACCTCGTAAAGGTCATGACAAGGACTTATAGGTCATTGCAAAGACTTCGGTCAAAAGGGACGACTAACAAGTCACAAAAACCCCACACTTCACAGCTCATGGCAAAGATGTACACGTCATACCGACATACAGGCTATTTCCATGACCCAAATATAATGAGAAAGGTCCTTAAGCTCAACAAAGACAACTACAGCGAGAGCGTGGGCTGATAACAAGCAACCACCTAAGAACATCGCAACACGTGCATTTCACAGCCCATCGACCCTCCTTCATCTGAATAACCCACGGCAGAAATTCCACATCCTCTTCAGAGACTGCCCTACTTCAACCAACACAAACAGCCTCAAACTCCAAAATAGCGCCGCCACAAAACTGAACAACGCACAAGAAACTCAGCGTTCCCATGGCTCTACGTGGGAATTTAGCCACTTGGCAGAATCTCTAGCCGCCTCTGTGAGATCAAACATTACACCCGCAGGCGCTTGAGGCGAGATCTTACCTTGGCTGGCACGGTGGAGGGGTCGGTAGAATTCATGGACGGAGGAGGTATCACAGGGGGGAGCGGGCCCGGGCGGGCCGGAGCTCCTGGTGGACCGGGAACGGTCGGCGCCGACACCCCAACCCCTGTCGGAAGAGAGGGGAGGGGTCAGGTCAGCTTAGACACTCAGACTCCCGATCCTTGGAGGCAGAGAAGGTGAAGTCAGGTCAGACAAATCCACCTTTAATGAAATGTGCGGATCAGGTCAGGTCACTAAACAGCAAGACCTGTTGAGACACCAAATGACAGGTCAGACTAACAAAGGCAATCCCCGACCACTGCCCATGCAAACAGCTGAAATCATGTCTTTATCACCACGTTACAAAGTCTGCATAGGTAGACAAAATGACTGGCGGGCGAATGAACAAGCGTTGGACTTAACCCTATTAGTGGCAGGCTCCTGGCTACCCCTATTAGTGGCAGGGGGGCTGTTTACGACCCCCCTTGATATCTCGAGATCTAACGGGCCGATTTTCTAAATTCAAACGGCATTCGATTCCGCTCAACGTGATCTACATTTCTAAAAAATTAAAAATTAAAAAATGTCAATAGGGGGGTAGAGGGGGGTAAAAACGGGCAAATTGCAGATACATTTTAGACTGTTTATCACGGCCAGGTTTCTGAACCAATCTTAACGCAACTTTTGCCGATCGATAGAGAATGAACCAGGAATTCACATGGATCCTAAAAATATGCATTTTCAAAAATCATAGGCGGATACAGATCATTGAGATTGGGGGTACACAAAAAGTATAGTAAATAAGGTTTTTGTTGGTAGGTACTGTTTCTAAAAAGGGTGCCAATGGTCTTGTTATGTTACAATTTTCTTATGAGAGAACGACTAAAATTGTATTGGTCATGCATAGGCGGTGTCAGGGCACCTATGTTGGGAGGTAAAACATAACCCCCCTTTTTGGACGCCTGGATCCGCCTATTATAGCAAAAACGTGTCAAAAGAGGATGCACAATAACTTTGTATATGTTATCACATGATGCCTTTCATTCACTGTTCGTAACACTGGTGCATACAGTTATAATACATCAGCATCGTGATCTTCGCCCAAATGACTCGCTTCACGAATAGGACCCCCCAATTCCCAGTGCTCTGGAGCCGCCCCTGGTAAAGTTATGAACTTGAAATTTTCAGGAAATGTGCCCAATTTAGTTTTAGGAAAAGTCAGAAAATTTCAGCATCGTAGCTTCAGCGGTTTCGGAGATATTCCCGAAAAACCTGAGGGGTGGATAAAAACAACCCCCCCTGCCACTAATAGGGTTAAGTGAACCTCGGTTTACATAACCCATTTTCAAGTCAGAATAAACCTCATTAACTTGGGCAAGCCGGGAGCATCTAGTCCAAATTAAGCCAGATACGATTCTCACAGCTCACAACGGGATGAGCAGTAATTACCGATGAAATATATGTAGACAACGAGGCATATGCAGCAAGCATAGAAATTGCAATTCAGTGTCCTAAAACATTCCAAATAATAAGCGACTCGCCAGATCCCTAGCAGAAACAGATGTCCTGAATCCCGATCACAACGCCGAAATGTTAGAATGTTTCTCATTGCATGACAAACATTCGAAGTTTTCATCCTTGATCCTTCATAGCTTTCCTCCCCAAAAACACATATCCTATCTGTCTCATAACTATTGCCTGTGTTTATCCTTTATATAACGATAAGTATAACGACACAGCTGTCTCATAACTATTGCCTGTGTTTATCCTTTATACCAGTATAACGCCTTTTGGGGCGACTAACGGAGCGAGCGAGAGGGTGAGCCTTGCACGTGCGAAATTTCGAAGGGGTACCTCCAGCTGACTTGTGCACGGCACCCTACTAACCGGCCTCTAGCGATGTGCCTAATTTGGGCACAATCGGCCCAGCCGCTCTCGAGATCTGGAAGCGGCACCCTGCACGTGCGCACGTGCAGCAGCACCCCAACTCTGGCACATGGATATGCATTGCCTAGTGGGTGCCTACCTACATGCCAGCTTTCAGCGCAATCGGCCAAGTAGTTACCGAGATATTGCAACAATTACAAAAGTGACACCTCTTCGTTTTGCACGTGGCACGTGCATAAGGGGTCACCCACATGCATCGGGAATAGTCCAATACTTGGTAGAAGGAATGAAGCTACCCTACAAAAATTACCGCGTGTAAATCGGTCAAGTGGTTGCTGAGATATAAGCCTCGCAAAAGCGTGACCACGGCCGGCCGGCCGGCCGCTCATACTCAGAAATTTCCGTTAATCTAAGGAAAGACTACGCTCGCTTCGCTCGCTCCGTAATAACCAGTATAACGCCTTTTGGGGCGAATAACGGAGCGAGCGAGATGGTGAGCCTTGCACGTGCGAAATTTCGAGGGGGTACCTCCAGCTGACTTGTGCACGGCACCCTACTAACCGGTCTCTAGCGATGTGCCAAATTTGAGCACAGTCGGCCCAGCCGTTCTCGAGATCTGGAAGCGGCACTCTGCACGTGCGCACGTGCAAAATGGGTCCCAACTGACTTGTGCACGGCGCCCTACTAACCGGTCCCTAACTGTGTACCAAATTTGAGCGCCATCGGTCCAGCCGTTCTCGAGATCTGGAAACGACCCCTGCACGTGCGCACGTGCAGAAGCACCCCAACTCTGGCACATGGATATGCAGTGCCTAGTAGGTGCCTACCTACATGCCAACTTTCAGCGCAATCGGCCAAGTAGTTACCGAGATATTGCAACAATTACAAAAGTGACACCTCTTCGTTTTGCACGTGGCACGTGCATAAGGGGTCACCCACATGCATCGGGAATAGTGCAATACTTGGTAGAAGGAATGAAGCTACCCTACAAAAATTACCGCATGTAAATCGGTCAAGTGGTTGCTGAGATATAAGCCTCGCAAAAGCGTGACCACGGCCGGCCGGCCGGCCGGCCGCTCATACTCAGAAATTTCCGTTAATCTAAGGAAAGACTACGCTCGCTTCGCTCGCTCCGTAACGATAAGTACCAGTATAACGCCTTTTGGGGCGAATAACGGAGCGAGCGAGAGGGTGGGCCTTGCACGTGCGAAATTGCGAGGGAGTACCTCCAACTGACTTGTGCACGGCACCCTACTAACCGGTCTCTAGCGATGTGCCAAATTTGAGCACAATCGGCCCAGCCGTTCTCGAGATCTGGAAGCGGCACCCTGCACGTGCGCACGTGCAAAATGGGGCCCAACTGACTTTTGCACGGCACCCTACTAACCGGTCCCTAACCATGTGCCAAATTTGAGCGCAATCGGTCCAGCCGTTCTCGAGATCTGGAATCGACCCCTGCACGTGCGCACGTGCAGCAGCGCCCCAACTCTGGCACATGGATATGCAGTGCCTAGTGGGTGCCTACCTACATGCCAACTCTCAGCGCAATCGGCCCAGTAGTTACCGAGATATTGCAACAATTACAAAACGGACACCTCTTCGTTTTGCACGTGGCACGTGCATAAGGGGTCACCCACATGCATCGGGAATAGTCCAATACTTGGTAGAAGGAATGAAGCTACCCTACAAAAATTACCGCATGTAAATCGGTCAAGTGGTTGCTGAGATATAAGCCTCGCAAAAGCGTGATCACGGCCGGCCGGCCCGCTCATACTCAGAAATTTCCGTTAATCTAAGGAAAGACTACGCTCGCTTCGCTCGCTCCGTAATAACGACACCAATATCAAGCCCAGAGTGCGACAACACCAATTTACAACACCTGTGAACGACAAGCAGTGTACGACAGCAGTCTCGCTGTTAGACGTTACGTACCGTCGTACTCGGGGTGGGAGTCGGTGATGGCCGCCGGTGCTGCTGTTGTTACTGCCGTTGTTGATGTTGTTGTGGTTACCGCTGCTGACGGAGCAGCGTCACCCATCTGCTGGAGCAGAGAGAGGCGTGGAGGGGTCAGCGGAATGAACAGGCGAGACGAGAGGGAGAGATGAGTACACACAAGATCCCATAGACAGCGTGACATCGGCTCCGTGAGCCGAGTTGGGCTGGGAAAGCAAATGGCAATTACAGCACAAACAAAATTTTACGATCCCCTTGCCACCAGTATAGCGCCTTTT